TCAGTCGGCTTCTATCTCTTTCTACCATATGTCCCTATACCCACGTCTCTCTCGTACGCACTGAACTTAAGCCTTCACATAAATTTGGTTCTCAGTGTATACTGCCCTATTATGACAGGAGGTTGGAAAGTTATTCAACTTTTTCAAATTCGTACTTAGTGGCATTAAAATTCGTATGATGGACTTATTTTGAATTTCTTTGAAGTGACATTGAAATGACCTTCAGGTGCCCTTATAGTGACTAATTGACCTCTAATTCGGAATTAGTGAGCAGAACAACCTAAATGATATGTGGTTGGGATCATCTACCCTTTTAAAGTGTCCGTGATATGACCCTGAAGCAACATTTAAATGACCCCATAGAGACAATAAAGTAATACTAGAATTAAAATCAGAATCCCAAAAACAACCCTACTGAGCTGAACACCGCATAGATCCGTAGGAATCGTATTTTTTGTGTCCTAGACCACTGTACATCATCTAAAAGTCCTGCATTTTGCATAATATGCTGGGACTAATGGATTTAATTTTAATTACTTCAGAACGTATTTTCAGTATAATCTTTGAAGTATCCACTAACATCTTTCTCCTGATGTACCCCCACTGAAAATCATCACTGGGGATCAAATCTTGTGATCATTGTGGCCATGCAATATCACGCGTGCAAATATCATATCACGTGATTTACTATAGAATGGAATCATATGCTGCGATTAAATTTGAATAAAAGAAATGATATGGTATCTTCAATTTAGAAACAAAACAGTTTCGTGAAGCCTTTTAAAACGCTCTGTAGGTATAAAGTCGAATTTACCGCTAAGTATTTTTCAGTAATTTTGAGTAACAAGCAACAAATTATGCAAAAGCGCAGAATATGCATTTAACTGGTTTGATATTTTGTGTGATCCGTTGCGAAATGTACAATACCTTCACAATCACATTTGATTTTGGAATGGTATAGCAAATCGGAAAATATCGATATAATACTGGAGCTCGCGGCAACACTGTAAATGGAGTATAGGCCGAGGGTGAACGCCTGAGGCCATTACGGCGGGTACGAAACCGAAACCGGACGAGATGAAAAACCATCCCGTAAGAAAAGCATTGGACGCGATAATTGCGAATGCTTTGAGAAAACTAAAAAGAATACAGTCATTGAAATGCTTCTATTTTCAAAGGATTTTTAAATAAACGCGCTTTTGCGTCAAACAATGAACTTGGCATTGGGTTTGATATATTGGCAACCGACATGTGATTAAATTTATTTATAATTGATTCGTCAAATTAGGATGTCTCACATATTTTTATAAAAATATCAATTCCGAGGTTACGTAAAACGCCGTTAACCCATCTTTTCAACCTCGTGTTGTGTCATGCCATGTCAAGTTGCTAATATGGCGACAAATAAATTGCCCTATTTTTAGTGAAAAATTGAAACTAATCAAATTTTTATAATACAGTTCACCGGTAAAAAACTACAAAACTGTTGTGGTGACACTGCACAAAATGAGGAATCCCATAAATGTTTCCGAAAAAATCAATTTATCCATGATACAACCTTACATAACAGATGACTGCCGTCGTTATCATACGTTTAGCCCACTAGATTCTCGTGAATATACACAAATAACGACTATTTTAGATAAGACATAATAGAAACATTCATAAATAAACATTTATTCTGAAAATTCAGCCAATGTGAGTTATTTGATGAACTTTGAGCACCTGAATGGGTACAGTTATCGAGTACTTCTAATTGAGCCTTACCTTTTTTGTATTTGTAGAAGTTATTTAAAAATCTATTAAAAATATATAAATCTAGTCTTTTCTATCCTCGCACGATCGGCACAGCACCACAACCCCCGACAATCTTTTTACCTCACCCGGCGAAATATTTCAGGTCGTGAGAAAGTTTAGTTCTTAAATTTACCGTTAGTCATGTAGGTGGCGTGCTTTGCCCCCTTGCATAGAAAGTCACCATACATGGTTGCCACTGTTGTCGATCCAGCAACCAAATTGTATCACCAGGTACAGAAATTTAAAAATCCCATTATAATATTGTCAATTTCAACACAAACACTTTGTTCAGTTTTCGATAATAGAATAACAAAGTAATTTAATTTTTATGAGAGATCCGTATTAAACTTTCCAGTTATTCATTTGTATCTAGGTACATTAGTGGAATGAAAACAATACCTTCATTTCAACAAGTGAAAATTTCGATACAAATTGTGGAACAGCTACACCCTATATTATTTTTTCAGATTAAAAGTATAACACGAAACGTCAGCTATACGTACTAGCGCGCTGCATGTGGTTTCGATCAAAATTTAGCCATTAAATGGACACCAATATTTCGCTCTAAAGTGGATTAATCTTTTTTGAACAAAACATTAAAGCAGTTATTAAAAAAGCAAAATAACTGTTACCAATAACGGGGGAGGCGGTGGAGGCGGTTCATCCTTTTTCATAAACCCAAACGCCTTTTTACTACAGTCTATTTGCCTCACTTCCGCTTTCGGGCCATCGCTGTTTAAATTTGTCTCTGTAACCCGACGATAGCTGTAGTGCTTCTCTTCAATCGTTGGCTTGCAGGGATTTTCCATACTTAGTGTAGGACTCTCACTGATTTATTTAATTTTTTGACTCGCCATTTCAATTTCCAAAATTCCGAAACGTCAATTTTGTTCATTTGTTCAGTCACAAATAAACATGGATAATTTCAAACCATATATTTTGTGTTGTACTATTTCCTAAAAATAAAAATAATATTAGTAGCAGCATAAAGAAATCAATTTGATCTTGAACCGAAAATACCAAAGAATTTGAATTTACCGCCAAAAGAAGGGATTCTAGGATTTTCGTTTAGGATGTTGGTGAACATGTAGACAGAGAAGCGCTTGTATAGTCACGTGACCTGTCAAATTTGACTATAATGTTTTGAATAGTTCATTCTTTTTTATGTGAAAAAATCAAGTTTATCATGTCTTTTTCTGAAAAAGGTATAGTATTTATATGATATAGTCATCACAAGGCCACCCAAAATATTATGCAAACTGATAGTTCGTCAGGCTGTGGTTATCGAAACCTTTTGTAAGCCAGGCGTCTCCTTTTATAAATTGGAATTTCTTCAAATGCTAGATTTGAAATGTACTGTTTGTTTTTGTAAAATTGAAATACCGCGAATTGTAGTTCACATAATAAATACACGTTTCCAAAAGACAGTTCTTAATTGCAAGTAAAATTGTCTCATAAGTTACACATTCCAGGCGGCTCTGCAGAAGAGACTGAGGCACTCGTTGATAGTTTAACTATGGAGAATACTACTCTTACTGAAGAAAATATATCTGAACTAAATAGAGATGATTATCATGCATTAAATGACTTTTCTCAAGAGTTAACATTGACAAACGAAGATATGGAAACTGGTAAGTTGAGCACCCCAATTACAGTAAAACACATGTGATACTATGATAATATGAATGGCTTAATATTGTTGATTTCCTACATCCAGATTGCAACAGTACAACTTCAGTATACTTGTAGATTTAAATAAGTTTGTGGTTGGGAAAGTTGAAGTAATGTTATTGTTAGAAGAGCTGAGGTTCAAGATGCAATTTTTAGTTTGAGGTGCCAAAGTATGATCTACCAAAGAGAAAAATCATGTAGTAGTTGATTTTTACAATAGTTGGTGCATACATGTTTTATACAGTTTCCATTCAACTTGGATTTTAAAATTTATTACTTTGTAGAGGTGATTGTAGAAAATCAGGAGATAATAGAGCATGAGGAAGAGGTTGAAACAGAAGAAACTGTTGCAGATGATTTTGTAGAAACTGATCAACATACTGCTTCCTCAGATGAAATTCTACAAGGTCTTAAAAATATAAGACCGATCTTGGGAACCAATGCTATTCCTCCTCTAAGACCACTGACTATTGCTCCTAAGCCAGCCAAAGTGCCTTTAACTGTGAAGCCAGTAGCTGGGCAACAGCTACTCTTATTACAAGGTATGGAAATCAAAACTGATGATTAAAAATAGTATTACATTAATGATTATCATTCCAGGTTCAGGGGCAGGTCAAACCTTGAAACTAGTGTCCCCTCAAGGCCAGGAATTGAATCTAGCAAACTTGATCAGCAGTCGTCCTGTTGCAATCAAACCGACATTCAAAACAGTATCTTCGCCAGGGGGAAACATCTCAATTATCCAGCAGAAACCTTTGGTGATGAAGAAAGTCATGACACCAGCCCAAAAGGCAGTAGCAGCAAAACCAACACTCACTGCATTCACCAATAAACAAGGTCAACATTTTATGTTGGTGCAAAAATCTGGCGATCAACAGCAATTGAAGTTGGTGCAAGCCCAAGGAGGGTCTCTTACAACTGTGCCATCACCTACCAAAACGATCACCCTACAGCAAGCTCAAGAAATGGGGCTAATAGGGAACAGCACAAAACTGGTGCAGCAATCTGCTGGTACTGCAAAACAGCAAACTTTACTTTTAGCTAAAGCTCCTCAGAAAGGTGTCAAGCTAGTACCGCAAATGACACCAACCCTAGTTTCTGCTGCAGTACCCAGCACGTCTGTCACAAAGACCCAGAGTACAGTGAAAACACCAACTAAAATATTGCCAGCAGGCGCTGTTACACTTCCAAAGGGCTCTCAAAAAATATTTTTCAAGACTACAGGGACAAATCAGACCATAATACCTTCTGGACAGCTGATTCAAGTAGCTAGTTCACAAGCTTTGGCAAGTGGACAGTTGCATCAAATAAATATTCCAGGCAAAGGGGTGAATATTTCAAGTTATATTGTGATTCCTTATAATGATGATTATGTTTTAGATGCAATTGATCAAATTTGTCACTGCAAGCACAGCTGAAGCAACTATACCAACAACATCAACTGGGACAACTACAGCTGCAAAGTTAGTGACTAACGTCCCTACTTCTAACATGATTGTCACAGAAATCAAGGTCAGTCAAAGAGAATAAACTATTGGATTGCTACATGATTTATTCTAAACAGTCTGGCTTGAAATGTTCTCTTTTTTACATTAATCTATTTACATGTCAACATTTTATTATCCGCATTTTACTTGTAACTATCTTCTCAAATACACACCTGGTGTTAAAATGAGTATTGAAACTTTTTAAGTACTGTACAAAAATATATTAACTATTAATAGAATTAAGCATATCAAAAATAATTCCATAGGTCTTCAAACTCGTCACTGTATCTCTGTATAACATGAGAATTATTTGTTAAAATAACAGTTTCAAAATTATAAACCATTGCTTGACCAGTCAAGTTCATAGAACCAAAGAACATTTTAGCTAAACTGCTATCTTCTTTATCAATCAAGCAGAATTTGTGGTGCATCATAGAGTATTCTGGAACCTGGTGTTTGTAAATGATGTCTGAAAAAAAAGGTTTGTTAGAATTATCAGTCCTCTTTAAGAAAATTGTTAATTCAGTCCCAAGCCTTGATCATGGAGAATTATTTCTAATTAAAGTTTTGCTAATATCAAAAAGATTCCTCAGGAATGCTTCAAATGAGACTTAGTCTAATATTGTTAATTACAAATATTTTTTATATGTTATATTGGCATGTTGCATGATTTGTTGCCTTATAGTCATTCATGACTGAATTGATAGTTCTCTTGAGGTGCACATTGCAGACAATAATGAAAAGATATAGTTGGGACCTAGCTCATATATTGAAGATATATTGCTGGGCCACATATACCGAGTGACAAAAAAAGGTATATTATGTTTATATGAAGAGATTTATCTTGCAATGAACAAGTAATAACATAGTCATGTTTTTGTGGTGGCTGCGTGTATTGTTTGGTGATAAAGAAGCATTCACTTTTCGTACATTTATAGTGTCAGTTCAATTTCATGTAGCTTATTGGGAAGCCTTTTTGTGATTGCTCAAAATGCCTAGAGTTTACCAGCTTTCCCAGCTAAGTAACTTTGAGTGGGATCAAATTGTTGTTAGGAGGACCAACAGATCCTTATGCGGTATACTGTATAAACATATGTAGGGGTTTACCTTTTTGTTACTGAGTATATATTGCCCATTCAAAGGCTTTATTAGGACAAAGACAAAATGATTAAATCATGTTGCTATCTCAGTACATCGTAGCACGATTGCCCTTTCTTAAACGCCTTTTACTGAACACATGGCGAATATGTCGTCATTGTTAGTCAAGCAGACAGCTATTAAATAAGTTACAATCTAGTACTGTTCTCGTTGTAGCGGTAAAACAGTATTGCCTGCTAAACCATGCCTGTGCCCTTGTTTGTTTATTCATTATTGTTATTAAGAAAAAAAATTACCATTTTGAATGAATTTTGAGATATTGTATTGTGCAGCGTCAGCGTTAGCCATGATTAGATCCAAAATAACCCTTATTTTGACGCCCCGCTTATGAGCTTTGATCAACTCTTGGCTGAACTGCTTCAAAGTTAACATATACATACAAACGCAAATGCTGACTTTGGCACTAGATACAAAGTGCAGAATTTTCTGTAGCTGGACATAAGAACAAGAATTTCCGCACTCTTTTCTGCTAATTAGGTGCTGTTTGCAATCGACGTTTCTCATGTTTATGAATATAACGTTGTAGTAGAATTTCTCCTGGCATTTCAACGCTTTTTTCAATCTTCGATATCGCCGGTGCAAGATCAAATTTATTATTAGCGGCACAAAAGTCAAGGTCGCTAGTATTATAGAGTTTCGTACTTTGTTCATAACTAACGTTAAGCTCAAAACGGACGATTGCTGGTCATCTAAATGTTTAAAGTATTTTGAAAAATAGGAAAACGCTGTTTTTTAACCCTTAAACCTACACTCCTAACCTAAAATAATTTGACATTTTGTTTTTCAATTTTGTCTTTTTTCTATTAACAACGTTGCCAAGTTGACGATATCTAGGAACAGTATTACGAGGGTTGCACAAAATAGTCTAGGCTACAAATACTAACAGTGCATGGTTGAATTTTCCGCAGAAAATGGGTCGCTTAGGGCGCCTTGGTGGGTCTTATCAAATTGATCTTAGGTTTGGTATTTACGCACTTTATGTATGCAGGGAATGAGCCTTTGTTGATCAAGATTTCTTCTTAGAAGACCACAAATTAATAACATAGATTAAAATGTTCATATTTATGTTTACGTTTTTATTTCCTGTAATACTGTTTTTAATTTATGTTTTAAATGCATTTTGTAAAATTAACTTTTATGCACAAGAGCATAGAACTTGTTTATTATTGGATGTTCCTGTGAGTGGACGCAAACCTTTTGGAATAAAGATTATTATTATTGTTTTTGTTACAGGCTGCAAGCACAGCGAGCAAAATAGCTCCAAAGCCAGCGAAGACAATAACCTCGACCGTGACCGCGGCGGCCCCACAAGTGTTGGCTGTGCTCCCAGCCACGGCCTATCCGGCCACTATTGCTCCGGTGGCCAAGGTGGCCATTCCGCCCAATCCGAGCCCCAGACAGGCGCAGGTTAAGCCCTCTCCTCCCAAATCTGCTACACCTCCACCTGCTACACCTCCTATGTCCAAAACTGAAGATGTAAGTTTCAATACTATTTTGTCTATAGAGGGCGTCCCAGAAATAACACGCCAGAATGACACGAGAGAAAGATTGGCTTCAGATAAAATCAATATGACTTCAGTAAAAGTTTTCTAGTTTCCGAAATATTGCCACTTATAAGTTTTTTCAAAAAATCCCTACTTTTTGCCTGTTATATAACGCAATAAAGAACTTCTCACTTATTATTTTTCCTTGAGCAAACATTAATAGGTGGTTGAGACAACCCAGTATTCATTTTATTGAAAACCAGCACGGTATGATAAAAAAATAATTATTACATTTTCTTTCAATGTGAAATTTTTTTCTAAAGTGTGACTAATTACTATGAAAAAAATATATAACAGACGGAAGCGGCAAATGATCTCAAAAACTAGCCTATTTAATGCTCTTTTAAAAATAGTATAACATTTGTTAATTGATAGCAGACTAAGGTATGGAATCTGTATTTGGGGAATTTCGACCGACGTCGATTCAGTTTTTATTATTTATTTTAAAAATGAAAAGATTATTAGTTACTGCTGGTATTTCAAACACATCATGTAGGATGGTGTTCAAGAACCTCAAGATTCTTACTCTTATTTGTCTCTATATTTATGAAATCAATATTTACGTCTATAAAAATAGAATTAAATTATTGTTATTCATCTTAGTTGATTGAATGAATTTGTTTATACAATATTTTGACAATTTTGAGCCTGGTAACATGTAGATTCGTTGAATTGGATTCTTTCTGAATAAGATTATGCATATTCTTCTGAGTGGTTTCGAAGATGCTTCCTGGACCAGTAACGCTGTGCACTGTGACAATCCCGCTTGACGTTCATCTCGGAGAATGATTGGTTTTTGCTCACAAGGGCTAACTTGTGCCAAACATGATCCTTTACGAACTGAATACGCCATTTTTTACAGTTGGACGCAAATGGAATGCGACCTCGTAAGCCTTGCAACTGTACCAAATCTCAATGTCTGAAACTCTACTGTGATTGTTTCGCAAATGGCGAATTCTGTTATATGTGCAAATGCATCAATTGCTTCAATGATCTGGATATGAGGAGTACCGGAACAGAGCAATAAAGGCGAGTACCAAAACTCCTTTTTTTCATAACGTAGTGATAGTGAATGTTGCGCCGATATTGACATGTTGGAGTCGTACAAGTTATTAGCACCATAATATTCTGAGTCACATGTATTTTCTCTTTTTTAGGCATGTTTGGAGAGAAACCCGCACGCTTTTAAACCCAAAATCGGTAAGGCTAAGGATGTCGCTGGTGATACTGCAATAAGGAAACACACCAAGGGCTGTAACTGCAAAAGATCTGGATGTCTGAAAAATTATTGCGAATGTTATGAGGTAGGATTTATTCGTGAAGCAAAATCAACACATTGCTTGACGTCCATTGGCTAACGCAGCTTGAGATATTCACAAAAAAAACGTAATACGTCAGAATAGTTCAGTGTGTCCAAGGTGAGCATTATGATCACAAAAATGGTGGCGAAGCGTCCATGTAGCCATTGGTAACAGTTGAAAATCTTAAAACTAAATAATGTATGACTAAGAACTGTGAAATAATTTCATTTATTTGTTTACCACCAGCAATATGTACTAGTAATTTAGTAAATAGTAGATTAGCCCCACGAAAATAATTCGCCCTATAATATTGACTAGATTTTGCGAACGCGATGAAGCCTCGACTTGGTTGTCGGTTGTTACCATTTTCGTTTATGGATACACTTGATAGTCCGTCGGAACCGTCTCGTGTCTGATCGCGGTCGCCCAAGTGCTTGGGCCGTCGCGATTATTATGTGGGCTTGTTACAATTTTTTGTTTGGTTACTCACTTCTCCCTCATTAGTAATCGTTTTGGTTGTCGGTTGTAGTGTGCGTGCAATTAAACATGGATGAGTGTCGCTGCGTAATCGATTAACTACTTGAAAAGTCATTCTCCTTGTATAATTTTGAAGAAAAAAAGGAGATCATTGAAAATGGAATACCAACACTTATTTTTGATACTTTTAAAAAGGAATAAAAAAAGTAGTGCGTTAATTTCGAAATATCGAAAATTGGATCCAAACGCTTATCAGACCAATTTAAACTCCCGAGTACAAAACTATGTCTATAGAGAGGGATATTCCTATATGAAAAAAATGATTTTATTAATTTTTCTTTTCTGAAGGCCTTTTTATTATCAGCCCAATAAATCAGTAAAAAATGTCGAAAAAGTGATATCTGGACGTCATTTTTGACTTTATTGGACAAGGTGGAAATAGTCATATATTGTGGAGCATAATGCTTTCCAATGACAGGATTAGCGAGAAAATCTTTTAGTTTTGACCCATATAGTAAATATATAGCTGAGACAAATTCACATAGGTGATGCTACAGTATCTCATTTTATCTCGGATAACTATTTGGACGCAGGAATATAGCATCAAGTTGGCTATTTTCAGGTAGAATACGTCAATCAATGCTAGCGCCATCTATTTCTAGCTTTCCAGATTACCAGCACATATATTTTAACAAAGCATTTTTTCAGAAAAATATGCATGTTTTCAGGCCCAGTATGTAGACAGCCTTTCCTGACATATTTTGAATATTAATGTATATATTTCTGCAAAACACTATTTTTTTCTTAGGCAAAAATCGCCTGTTCAAACAACTGCAAATGCATCGGATGTCGGAATATAGAAGACAGCATGGAGAAGAAAACTCTGAGACATCTGGTAGAAATGGAGAAGGTTGCAGCGGCTATAATGTCAGCAAACAGATATTCACCAACGAGAGACGGGAATAGGCAAAGGCGCAGTTCAAATACGCGGTAAGATATTTGTTGCCATAGACTAACAAAGTATCAGAAATACTAGTGATAGGATGGACAGGTAGACAAAAGTATCAGCAAATGCGAGTTACGTATATGTAATTCTGACTTCTTATTTTTAATTTTACTAACCAAAGGCGGAAAAATGAAAATTTCTAGTGGAAAATTTTAAGTGATAGGATGGAAAAACGATTCGCACTGATTTACACGTAGCCTAAACAATTTTAGAGAGGTTTGAGTTAATTGACCCTAAAAAATCATTTCACATTTTTTTGTTAGTCAAAGGTGGAAAAACAAAAAATTTGATTGGAAAAACATGAAACGATGGAAAATCCATGTATGCTCATTTTTTTCTAAAATCTGACTAGTTCTGGGCTACGTGAATTTTTATTTACATTTTTTTTCAATCCAATGGTGGAAAACTGAAATTTTGAATAAAAAAACGTGGTAAAACTTCACGGACCTGATGTGTTCGATATCAGATTTGTATACGACAACTGGAAAATAGTGATGTGTAGTTTGCGAACGTCCTGCTTCAACCGAACGATTCTTATGACTGAACCAAGTGAACTATGTCATCATTCCTCGAAAAACTCGTTCACTTGTTCAACACCAAGGATGTTATATCATAGGATCTCGATGATCCAAGCGAATGAGTTATAAGTGAACGAACTTGAACGAGATCGGATACGGTACTCACCATCGGAAGCAACCAAATAAGCAGCAGGTTGTATGACTGGTTGCCTGGATACGAACGTGGTCTAATTCAATGATATTGAACAGGATAAAATGACTTTATTAAAAATATAACAACAAATGTTCTGAGCACTGTATCGTCAGTCGTTCCTACAATATTGTAGGACGCCTTTATGGCCTTCATGATTTTCATAGACTTTTCTCTCCTTCAGAAAGGCTGGGGTAATCGCAGCAGATGCTGCTTGGCTCCGGCAGTTAGATGAAAGGCCGCGTTTTCACTGGCACATTAACGTATTGTTGCGTAAAATAGTTCATTCGCGAATTAGTTCTTTCAACTAGTTCATCGAAATGTAGGGAGGTTATGGTATATTCCAACGGAGGTTGACACATCTAAACTATTGCTTTTGTTACCATGAATACCTACACTTGTCAGCTGTGAACATTTGTAGTTCATCATCGTCAACGTATCGTTCATTTTGTCGGGTTGCAAGTTGTAGTGCTTCAACAATTTTCCTGACGAGAAATTTTTCCGTTTCAGTAATAAACAAACCGTCAACTACATAACAGAAGAAGTGATAGAAGCGACTTGTCAGTGTATGTTGACGATTTGCGACAACGCGCAGGAAAATATGCAAGATGAAGAGATGACGAAACGGTTGATAATTGAGGAATTTGGACGATGTTTGACGGAGATCATCGACTGCACCTCAAATCACACGTAATATTTTTTAGTTTATAGTGTATATAAAGGAGAAAGGTTGAATAGGTAAACTGCTTATAAGGATAGATTGAAAACTGTCTGTCAAATAGTGAAATTATACTGACCCCAAATAATTGGTTGCGTTTTGTAGCACCCCCTTGTGGATAATAGTTTCTATAATTGTGACATTGACATCTGACCTGATGGGACGTTTTATCTAAACGCTTGTAGTCGCGAATGTCAAATGTCGAATAGTTTTTCAATCTATCCATCAAGGCACTTTAAGTGTTATCGAATCTGAGACTGGTTGGGATTCTCTGAGAGTTTTGTATTTGGTTTTTTCTTCGACATTCGATTACATAGCTAATCTCACTTTTTATTGGTCTTGCGAGAATTGAGGCAAAATATTTAGGAGCTAATGTTGAAAGACTCAAATATATCATGATTTAACGACTTTTGGAATTGCAATCGAACTTTATAGTAGACATTTTATTGATATTTTTTATTTATAGATATGAGTATGAAGATTATAATTTAATTATTGATAGTTTGAAAAGTTATAGTGAATATTGTCAAATAAATGAGTTGTTGAAGATGTTTCATTTTTTACACACTACCAAAGGAAATATTTTTTTCGGGAAGAATTTATATGAACAGATCCTCATGGATATATCTATTCATACAGAACGTACATTCTGTTCTAAAAAAATACATAGGATTACAGTTACATATTATGTCTCACATAAATCAATATAAAAAGGTTATATAAACAAAGCAGCAATAAACTAAAAATGTTATTGCTATATCCAACAAAACAAAAAATATGACACAATAAATAGATCACTCTATCCAGGCCAAGAAGGAGAATATGCCTCGAGAACAAAATAATTTTCATCCACTAACAAGAAAACAAAGAATTTTTTGTATTCCTTTGTATGTACGTAATAGTTTCTTTTCAATTACTAGTATTACTACAACAAATACACTTTTGAGTTATACTTAAAAGTAGGAATAGTTCGGGTCATATTCTCTTTCTCAACTCAGACCATCCTGTAGCAGCATTACTTCGGCTGGTTTTGAACCACTTTGCTGTGCACCCGTATCCGATGCCTGATTAGGTAAGATTCCTTTGAAAATGCCCGTGAACAATACTCGCAGTCATACCCCTTGGTGCTATGCGACCTGCAACAAGTTGTTCATTATTTGACGAAGATAAACAAAATAATTATGCAAAATGGAAAATTCTTGCCAGAGGACCAGAAAGAAAGTTTGCTCTTTGTTCATGTCAAGTTTTCGAAAATGTTTATTTTGTTCTTGAATTGGGATGTTCATATTTCATATATTTTAAAAAAGATGTGTCTCATATAAAATTAAATACCTCAAAGATATTCTAAAATAGAAATATCTCTATTCAATATACCATCCTTTTATTGAACCCCATTTAAAGAATGGTATTTTGGAATGGGAAGCTATATGCTCAACTCATATTTATGATTTAGACGCATTTTAAAAAATGATTCTAAAAATAATGCTTAAAGAATCAAAATTATATCCCACTTCTTATACAAAGATATGAAAATCTACAGGGTGTTTCAGTTTATTGTTGCATAACTTTAAGATTCGATAGAACTTTTAAAATTAATTCATAAAGTCTATATAAACATGGGGCGAAAAATGCGTGGCTTCCGAAATACAGGGTGTTTAAATTTACTTTCTAAAATAGTTTTTTTTTAAATATTTCGAACAATATTTGATGTATAACAGTGAAAATTGGTATACAAGGGTTTTTTGGTACGACAAAATGAACCATGGGCATAGTTTTACTGTAGCCGCTAGAGGGCGCTCTCTACTGTACCTGTAGTGTATTCAAATGCCCGAAAAAATTTTCTTAGTGCAATTTTTTGCTTTTTGAATAAAAAAACTGATTCTTCGCACTTTTCAACATAAAAAGCTCTCTTGTGAATTTTCGTTATAGTTAGCCGTTTTTGAGATATTTCGATTTTTAAGGTTCGATGCATTTATAATTATTTATGGGATAATAATATTTTTTTTACATTTTCGATTTGGGCATTACAAGTAATTAAGATAATCGTTTAGATTGTGTTTTTAAACACAGCAATAATTCCTAACTCCAAATAAACACAAAAAACAGAATATTAATTTGTTTAATTTTCCAATATTATTTTAACAAATTAAATTAATTATTTACAACTAAAATGCTATTGGATAGTTAGGATAAACACAAAATCTAAAGTAGTTGCTCGAAATGTAAACCCAATTGTTCAATATACAATTCACATCTACGAATGATCAGTCAAGTCATCGTTGGTTGTCAGAGCGGTCCGTGGGACCTTAGCTCTTGAGTCACAGTGTCAGTTTGTAAGTCTGTCAGGTCTGGTAACCCAGAAACCAGACAATTTTAAGGAAAAAAGGAGAAGGAAAGGAGAGAAGGAAGAACGAGAGCAAAGGGGAAGAAGAGAATCTTTTAGGATATGCAGCGTTTAGGCATTGTTAAAATCGCTTCACAGATTTTGATATGGTCTAAAAATATTTGATTTTTTCTAAAGATTGTGTAAAAATGCTCAAATTTTGGTTGTTCTAAGTTCACGAGTTAATTTTGATTACAGTGCGAGCCGCGGCCTTTTGTGCTTGCGAACTTGCTCGACTGTGTAGTCCACTGAATCACGCAACAGAGGGTTGCTGTGCGATTCCGCTAGGCTATAGCGCCGCTGCGCCTGTTGCTTAATGTAGTCCTTTAGGTAAGGGACATCGAGGTCTCTATGTAGAGTTTCGTTAGAGACATACCATGGGGCATCAGCAATAGTGCGCAACGTCCTGCTTTGCAGAACCTGCAGACTTCGCATGTGTGTTTTAGCAATAAAACACCAAGCCGCACATGCGTATGTCATTGCTGGTCTTATGACCACCTTATAGAGTCGAATCTTGTTAATCAAACTTAATTTTGACCGTTTACATAATAATGGGTAAAGCTGCCGAAACGTAATTTGGAATTTAGTTTTTAGCGCTTCCATATGGTTCCGCCAAGTCATCCCTTTGTCCAGAATGACACCGAGATACTTAGCGGAGGATTCCCATGGTATACGAAGTCCATTCATTGAAACTTCAGACGGAACGCCGCGACGTCTTTTTGTACAGTAGATTGCCTGCGTTTTCGAATGGTTTATTTTAATTAGCCACCGATCCGCCCAATCTAATACTTCTTCCACCGCACTTTGCAGCCTGTCATGGACTAGGTCACCAGACCACGACTGAGCCACCAATGCAGTATCGTCAGCATAGAGATAGACTTCACAGTTGCTGGGACTAGGGACGTCATGGATGTACAGTGAGTAAAGGATAGGTCCAAGGACCGAACCCTGAGGGACGCCGGCTGTAATCAGCCGTGTTGTCGACAGCACATTGTCAATTTTGATCCGAAATTTCCTACCTTCAAGGAAGGATTTCAGTAGTTTTAGAAGCCAAAAAGGGAAGCCCTTTTGGATTAGTTTATACAAGAGGCCCGCGTGCCACACCTTGTCAAATGCTTTTGAGACATCCAAAAGCAAGATGCCAGTACTTTCGTTAAGGGTGAATCCTCTGGTTACACGTTCCACCAGCCTAACCGCCTGTAGCTCCGTACTATGTTCAGACCGAAAACCGAATTGCACGTCAGGAATCACATGGTGATCTGACGAGAAATTCTCAAGGTGACGTAGAATCACCTTTTCAGCGAGCTTAGACGCAGCTGACAGCAGGCTAATGGGACGATAATCCTGGGGAAATATCGAACCCACCTTCTTTGGAATCATTATAACTTCAGCGGTCTTCCACGCGGATGGGAAGTACTGGATCCTGAGCATGGCATTGACTATTGCCACGAGATAAGTTAAGGACTTCCGCGAAAGCAGCTTCAGCGCCTTATTAGTGATTTGATCCTCCCCAGGTGCTTTACGCACTTTAAGGTCTTTAATATGACCTTGAATCTCTGCTGGTGTGCAATGCGGGATCTCAGGAGATACCGCTGATGTGCTAAGCAAATCTTCGGTTGAAGAAGCTTCTGAAGAAGAATCTTCTGATGAAGAAAAATCACCAACGAATGCGCGACTGTCACTGACGCCGTTGGCCCTAAAATATCTCCTGACAGATCTTACGATGTGTTGCTCCTCGTCGAGGTCATTATCAAGATCATAGTTGGGAGAGAACTGTCTTTCCATGGCATCGGCGAAAACCTCAACCTTCTCCTCTGTCCTGAAGACAATGCCTCCAGGACCGTGAATGTGTGGGATTTGTTCACGCTTTCCGTTTTTGAGCGACTTCGCCACCTTCCAGAGAGGAATGCTTGAGTCAAGCATCCCCGCCAGAAAGTCGTTCCATTGCTCATTGCGGAATTCATGAAGAGCATTTCTTACTTCATGGACAAGATTCGTCGCTCTGCGAATGTCATCAGGATGACAAGACCTTTTCGCTTGCTTAATTGCAGCTCTTTTATCAGAAATTTTCTGACGAATGTCTGCTGGCAGAAAAGGTCTGCCGTGTCGCTGCACGGGAAGTACAGCTGCACGCTGCAGAGTTTGCTGAACAAAACTTGTCCACTCTGCTTGAGCCGCATCTATACCGTTCTCATCATCTATGATCGGTATATTGGGGAACTCTTTGAGGAGCGACTTGTATAGCTCCCAATCAATGCGTTTCCTTGGAGGGATTTCATCCCCCAAGATCTGCTCATTAGCCACTTCCAAAACGACGGGAAGATGATCGCTTGAGATGTCATACATGATTCGAGAAGTGATGCTGTAGCTACAGTTTTTGGATAATGCCAAATCAAGAACATCAGGTGCCTGAAGGTGATTAAATGGGTGGTGCGTCGGCTCCTCAGTACTATGTATGAGGTAGCCATTTCGTATCACATGGTTGTACAGTCGGATCCCACTGGTGGAATTCAACCTGGAATGCCATGCTCGATGTTTGCAGTTGAAGTCCCCTGCCACAATAAGTGGACCCGAGTAGTCTAAAAGGACTTCCAGATCCGCCTCTTGCAGCCTGTTACCACACCTGACATACACCGATGTGATTTTTAACGGCACACCTCCCGTCATATTCACCACCACGGAAGCCGCTTCGATGCTCTGCATGTCAGCGTTTGTGCTTCTGTGGTAGTCAATACCGCGTTTCACTAGCACTGCCAAGCCGCCACCCCGTCCAGTCAATCTATCAGCCCGGATAACATCGTAATTCGGGAAAGCTAGACGATCTCCCGGATTAAGTAATGTTTCCTGCAGCAAGGCCACATCTATACTTTCGTCCACAAGAGCTTGATGAAATTCCCGTCTTTTGGGAATGTCCCTTAGACCCAAACAATTCCAAAAAAGAATTTTGATAAATGCAGGCTGTCGTCGATTGTACCTAGCCATTTGCAGGAAAGATCGCCTGCAAAGCCTGTGTTGCGCTAATCAGAGGACCTATGATCTGCTGTAAGGACCTTAGCGCGGTTGCCAGGTCCACATTTTGCGTGTTCGCAGAAGATCCCACAGAGGGGGCAGCCCGGGTTGCATCCCTAGCTGCATCCGCGTAACTTACATTGCGCCTTTGCGCTATCACTTGCAGATTTTTCTTAGGGGCAAATCTGCAAGTTCGGCTATTCGCTGGATGCCCCCCTCCACAGTTCGCGCACTTTCGTTCCTCTTGTTCTGTTTGAGGGCATAAGTGGGTCATGTGGTCAGAGGCACATTTTAGACATTTAGGTGGTGCAGTGCAGTAAGATTGCGCATGCCCATATTTTTGGCAGCGGTGACACTGCCCGATGAGTCTTGAGTTCTTTTGAACTTCGACTCGGATAGCCAAACCTAGCAGCTCGTGTTCGTTGAACAGCTGCTGAGATTTTTCTATCTTGGGCAGTATGACTACCACCAAAGGCATGGGCACGCCGCCACCGCGTTTCAGGCGAATTATGTGCAGGGGGGAATATCCCCTCTGTTGCAACTCTTCCTTGATCTCAATTTCCGAAAGTGTCGCATGTACTCCTCTGATTACAGCATGAATGTTCCTCTCGGAGGGTAGAGGGAAAGTGTGATGGGGCACCTCTTCCTCCCTGAAGAGACGAATAATCCTGCGGTAATCATCCTCGGACTTGGGAATTATCCTGATTCCCGCATCGACGGCAACCGCGCGTTCGAATTTGATGC